TTAGCTGTCACCCGATGAATGCTGAATTGGCGTCACAGCACACAGCATGAGAAATTGCCCCTTTTTCTCAAGACCACAGGAATGTATCTGGTAAGTTTTTACTTTTTATTTTATGTAATGTTAACACTTTACTGTCTCTCTGCTACCTCCATATATACGGCCTATTACTTGATCCTAAAATATTGTGTGTTGATTGTAGTGGTGGAAAGTGGAAGAGGCAAATCATCAGAGTGTCATTTACAGTAATGCTGCTATTTATTTTATCTTATAGCACAGTCTTACTTAAATAGGAAGTGAAGCTGGTTCTTGTCCAAAGGGATTTGCCTGGACTTGATGCTGGCCATACCTGTAACATAGAAAATCCATTCAATGAGTCACATTTTTTTCTGCTTAAAAGACAGGCAGGAGTATTTCTAGTCCATGCAAACTGAATGCTCTTTTTCTCTTGAGTCCTGTAATGTATGATAAAAATGTAAAGTAAAAAAATATGGAAACAGAGTTAAAAGTGCATGAATATTTATGATATTCTACCTGTGAACATTTGACGTTGAGTTGACATTGTTTTTCCTAGGCAATGCTTTTGAAGCATGGCACGTTAATGTTATGCAGCTACCTGAAACTGTAAGCGTCTAGAGAGGAGTTATCACCATGATATATGAAGACCAAAATTCTGTTTTTACCCTGTTGCAGGAAGACCGTCCAACAGTTGCATCTGCGCTTGACATCAGCTAATCAGCTGTTAGTTGTCACCCGTTGTATGCTGAGTTTGCGTCACAGCAGAGAAATGGCCCTTCTTTCTCATGATCACAGGAATGAATCTGGTAAGTTTTGACTTTTAATGTCATTATGTTAGAAAATACCAGTACATTATGGTGGTCATGTTAGGTAAAAGATTATTTTGGTATTGTTTCTATTTTGGGGCTTTCTTGTACTTTCTTTACTGCTTGTATGCTCACTCCATATATATGGCTTATTACTTGATCCTAAAATATGTAGTTGTGTGTTGATTTATTGGAGGGAAGTGGAGGTAAATCATCAGAGTGTCTCTTACAGTAATGCTACTATTTATTTCATTTGTATGGTACAGTCTTAGTAAAGTAGGAAGTGATGCTGGTTCTTGTCCAAAGGGATATGCCTGGACTGGATGCTGGCCACCTGTAACATAGAAGTTCATTCAATGAGTTGGCGTCACAGTGATACATATGGTCCAGAACATGTTTGTGTTGAACTCTGAGAATTTGAATTTAACTTAGATTTTTATCATTCTTTTTCAGGTATTCAGATTCGCTCCAAGTCACCAGCAGAAACAAGCCGGCTTCTTGAGGAAGACTTACTCTTATAATGTAAATTATTTGAAACAATAAAGAATAAAAAATGACTACATCTGACATTTTACTTAATTTCATACACCTAGTTAGCTAGAAGCTGTGGTAACTGTGGATGTAGTAGCAGACAGCCACCACTACCGCAGTGACGTCACAGACGTCTCTGATGCAGCTGGCGTGGAGGCAGCAGTAGGTTTACCACTACTACTACCCCCACAGCCCCCGCAGCAGCGGCGGCAGCCCGCTACTACCTCCACAGCAGCCGCAGCCGAGAGGAGGGCAGGGGGAGGGAAGGTTTTCTTTGGACGGCTTAGGGTCACGTCCAACCCGCCTCATTAACGCCGTGAGGTCACGCGTTGCACGTACAGTCCCCATGCAAGGGGTCCGCTGACTCCACAGCGTTGAGCGGAACGGCTCCGCTAGACCCTTCCACAATGTGGGTGATGGGTGAATTTACAGGGGGGGGGGGGCAAAAAATAGCTGGACCAACGGTTATCACTGTGACGCCAACTCAACTTAAATCTGATGATTCCACAAGCTGCACGGCTGATGTCCAGGACAGGTACACCTCCAGGCCGATATCTTCCTGCAACAAACCAAACAGGCAGTTTTAGTCGAAGAAACAGGATGTGAAGAAGTCAAAAGACACGCAATTTCGACAGAGAAGGTAAAAGGTGACTCTCCCAGACAAATCCCAACCATTTCCAG